TATATATATAACAAAAGAATATAGGAAACGAATACATGTATAAACTTTAGAAACACTTTACTGGGGAAAACCAATATTTCGACCTATCCTCAGGTCTTTATCAAGGTACATGAAAAAACTAGCAAAAAGTGGACACACATAACCACTGTAGTGGGAGGATTTAAAGAATAAGCAATGCGGATTTGGTCTTGATATACTTCTGAAACTCTACCTAACTGCCAATTTCCTCTAGGTGAGTTATTTTCACATAGTAACACACTATCTTCAACTTTCAAGTTTTTCTTTACATCTGTCCATCGTAGTCGCTCCCGTAACGTCAACAAATATTCCTTTGACCACCGCCTCCAGAAGAGGTCAGTCAAGTATTAGATTTGACTCCATTTTTTACTAGATAGCTTTTTTCAAATATGCCAGGTTCATTTGAGGTTTGTGGCTTACCAACAAGAAAGTGGTTTGGGGTCAGAGTGGTTCATTGTCATTTGAGCTATCCGAGATAACTGTCAGGGGTCTTCTATTTACGATTCCTTCAACCTCGCAAAAATAAAGTCTGTAGTCCCTCATTGTCTAATTTAATTGGTTGTTCTTTAAGAACGCCGTACAACGCCTTCCTGACTGAGCGAATCATCCGATCTCCCACATCACCGAAGCGGGATACTGACGATTGGTTAAATGTCCATTCCAGCTCTCGTTAAATCATCTCCCTCTTGATTTTCTCTACACTCAATTTCTTTAGAGCTTCCTTTGGCTCATTCCTGGCACCAATGATATTGGTTTGCGCTGCCAATGAAGCAGCCGTAAGTTCAAGCCTTGGTGGTATTGTCATTCCCTTAAGTAGTAAGACCCTTGATCGGTTATACAAGATGTTACAGTTGATGGCTCCGTTAACATTTCATCGGCCATAAGCAATTACGCCACATCCATTCTGACTGGCATCAGCAAACACGTGAACTTGGCATGGACTGTTTTCAATGCTCAAATTGACACATCTTGGTATCTTAATATTTTCAAAGTGTTGTAACTCATTTTACCACTTCTTCCATTGTTTTCCCACCTCTCCATCGATAATCTCATTCCAGCTTTTGCCATCCCTACACCTAAATTACATTCACTTACCGTTTGTTGCAGGGTTGTGTTTGCACATGCGAGAGATGATGTAGTACCGAATAGGTGTACTCGCATCCAATACTCCACTGGTTCAACTTGAAGATCTTCCGGAAACCATTTCTGTTGTAATCCTCAAAAGTTTTCCAGTCTAGTCTCCTCCAGAGATTTGTCGATGCTTAGCAGCTCTATTGTATTTACCGGATGAACGCCTATCGACTCGCTGCTTCTCATCAGGTTCCAGACAACCCAACCTAATTTGGTCCTTGTGGCATGGGGTGCACCCGTCTGTCCAGTTTAATATGTAACGGTGTATAGGCACTTGGCGCTCCCATTCCTATAAGCAGGCCAACTTCTGAATCGATCTTGGGCATGACGAAAATCTTCCCATTAGAAGAAACGGTCACTGGTGGGTTGGATGATTGATTGCTACTTGCCTACATGCTGCCTAAACGGCCTTCACAATGAGTAAACAAGACCTTGGTAGTAGGAGAAAATTGGACACAGTGCAGCCAATATTGCTCCAATCATGGTCAAATTTCAGAAAGTATACACAATTTCTGAATCTAATGTTATTATTTAAAACATAAAATGTTTTAAAGAAAAATCCGACCATAATGAAAAAAAGGCAGTAGCTGTACGTCTGTGGATTTACTTTACTTTTTTCACGAATTTCGCGAACGTAAAACCCTGACTTGGCGATCGGGAGAATACTATAGCCAGAAAGATGCATCAATATTTTATTAGTTCTCAAAAAACAAAGATGGTAATTTTGGTCATTTTCGATACACATATGTATTGAAAATGACATGGTGTATTGGTGTTTATGCTGGCCTAAATAAATATAAGAATACGATTCTTTCTAGCCTTTATTCTATTAATATTTTATGATCGTGTGGCGTACAACAGCAATGTTTACTCACATTCCTGGCTATCCAGGTGCTATTCTACAGCTTACAGCTGATGTATTTCAATCTAGGCTCAGAGAGTAGTAAATCTCTATTTTATAGGGCCTCCGAATCGAGCGATGAATATTTAGTTGAGAGTTAGAATTTAGGAACAGAGAATAATTCGTCATGTATTAAAATCAAATGCTAAATTGATTTTATAACTGATATTCTGTATCTTCGTTTCATACGATCTACAGACGGTTACTCTCCCTCACGGCCTGTGCACAATGTCACGAACGAACTAAATGCATGTGCTTGAGTCGTGGGCGATTTAGAACCGTCCATTTTGTGGCAGGGTATTCATTTTGTATTATAACTATAAATACCTAAGCCTAAACATTACCACATTTAAACATGTGTATTAACCGTTATAATAAACATGTTTAAATATTATTATAATAAGCTTCACCGGGCACACAATGGCTCGGCCTTGGGATGCCAGTGGGGTAGGCGCTCAATTGCCATGCAAGCTGCGCACTAATTGGCTGACGTCACCTGTGGTGTACTGTTCTAATAGTAAAGCCTATCTCTATCTTCCATTATGAAGCGCCCATAATCTCTTCAATCTCCGTTAAACTTCTTTGGTTCCTTCTTTGGCAAACCTGATTGAACTTCCCATTGTGAAAGCACCTCACCTTGCAATAGTACGCCCTCTCTAGTTTACAAACTAAATCTAAACATGACTTTAATATATTTATATATATATATATAAATATATATACAATATATATTAATATACTATACACTATATATATGTATATATACTAAATATATATATATATATTATATATTAAATATTAAATATTATATATAATATTTACACTATATTTATAATATATATATATATATTTATATATATATAAATATATATATATATATATGTTAAATATGTTAAAAATATATATGTTAAATATATATAATATATATATATATATATATATATATATAATGTATATGTATATTATTTTGTTATACTTGATAATAATGATACCGTATTTTAAAAGCGCATTTCTGAGTAAATACTTAAGATTCCTAATACCATTTTAAAAATAATATGAATAAGAATTTTGTCATTTGCCTTTTGGCATTTGTCATTTCTAATATTCAAACCTTCAAACAATATTTCTAATATTGTTTATCGCTTGTCATTCGACAATCGTAATTTGTCATTCATAATTGTATCATTTATTTTTTTAATATTTATTACCGGTATATATTATCATTATTTGATGAGAAAAAAAAATTCTCCAATTGTGTAATAATTTTTTATATGTGCCATATACAGTAGGAAAATGAATATATTTCACCCGAATTGTGTTGTTACATTTTGTTACTACTGTTTCTTTTTTTCTCTATATAAAATAACATTTTGAAACCCACGAATACTTAGGAACCTCCAATTTATAACAATACAGTAATAATACAGTAGAAGTAATAAAATATAACAGCATTATAATTCAATTTTTTTTTTAATCTGCACAGCATAATATGAGTTTAGAAGTTATTACAACAGGTTAACACAATCAGTCGTAATTTAAAGATACTTACTTCAGATACCATGTAGTATATACACCCAATCCAGTGAATGACAATTCCTAGGTACATTGTCAATTTGAAAGCACGTAGACGATTCGGGTTACTGGTCCGACTAAAAGATAGTCATTCACGGAGTTAGTCAAGAATGAATGTTTTTAATAGATGACTGCATGTATAGATTGATCAATAAATATGTCAATAAAATAATTACTTATCGTAAGTGCTTAAAGTAGGCGCCACAGCCCTTATAACATTTCTGTTGGCTTCAGTGCGGCGCTTATTCGAGAGCGGCGCTTATAAAAAAATATTGGCGTGGCGCTTGTTCTCATGCTAACTATTTCACGTATTCCCGTAGTTCAGTAAGTCTACCATATGTCCTAATTTATCATACATAGACATGCATGTAAGACATGCTTGTGTGTGTCTTTATTGTGTTATTTATTTCTTTTTAACACTGTATACATTGTATTCAAAACCCTGTTTCTCAATGTGTTTCATTACACGAAGGGTAATATTAAACTCTTGAATAATCGCCGCGGCTATTATTTAAGAGCGGCGCTTAGCAAATAATCAGGTTTGGTGCGACGCTTTTTCGAAAGTGGCGCTTATTCAAGCATTTACGGTAAGTACTATTCAATTCAATTCAATTCAACAAAACATTTAGTTTCTTCCAAAGGCACAAGAAAATACAAAGTTGCAAATACAAGGAATTACAAAATTTTGGAAGAAGGCCAGGTCTCGAGAAGATGTTTGCAGAAACATCCTGTGTTGGACAGGCCTGGAAAAAAGGAGGAAGATAAAGCAGCTCAACTTGTAACAGCATGACAAATTTTGGAAAAAAAATAGTAATTTGAAATTATGTGTTTATTAATTTTAATAAAAAAAAGCTCTGACAGAAACATTACAGCATTAATAATGATAAATTGTTGCAAAGAGAGTAGCACGTATATCTACGTTGTTTTGGAAATAGTTTGTGTTATGATTAGGGATGAGAATATCAGTTCTCGATCGTGTACAATGATTATGAAGAGAAGAATTAGGCATAAACATGTTATTTAAATAGTTGTAGAGGATCGAATGCCTGGTGGAATATACAAATATACCTTGCTGAATTAAATAAATATCGTTATAACTTCGGAAGATTCAGTTCAGAAAATAAATGGGAAGAATGAGACCGTGATACCCTTTTTTTTTTAAATTTTGTTGATGTTAGATGGATATGTATTACCCCAAACAATATTGCAGTAATTCAAGTAAGGAATAATGAGAGGGCAGTTGCAGTGGCGTAGAAAAGTTTTTTTCATTGGGGGGGGGGGGATGATTGGCGTGTTAGCCAGTGTCGTAACAGGCGCGGGTGGGGGGAGCTGCCCCTCCCCTGACGGTTTTACCGGGCTGACCAAGCAGTCGTACCGGGCTGGGTAATAAGAGAGAAGAAAGATGGGAGAGGGAGGGCCCTGCAACCCTTTTCCACTTCAAAAACTGTCATAACTCCTTTGATCTATGCTGCCCGATGGCTTAACCACTGGGGGACAAGGGGAAAATATCTATCTTTGAAAAATCTTCCCCACCCCTTTATAAATGCCCTTTTCATCCCCTGAAAGTGCCTAAAAAACATAAAATTTCGCGCGCTTCGCGCTCATTTCTTGTTAAGCATGGGGCAATTTCCTCTAAAAAATACACATTTTAAGGAGTTTTGATCAATTCCAACGAAGTTAGAATTAAAAACACCGGGGGACAAGGAAAAAATATCCATCTTTAGAAAATCTTTCCCCACCACTTGACAAATCATCCTCTGAAAGTGCCTAAATTCTTAAATTCTTTGCTCGCATTTCTTGTTACGGTAGGCCAATTTCCTCTATAAATTGCACATTTTAAAGAGTTTTCATCAATTCCGACAAAATTAGAATTAAAAACACAAAAATATATTGCGCGCTTCGCGCGCAATTTTTTTAGGGCTTTTTTAGGTTTATCCTTTGAAGTTATTTAAACACATAAGCCTAATAATAGTCCCAAACTCAAGAAAGACAAATTTAAGATTGATCGTTTTAACCAAAAAGAAGGGCCTCAATATGTATTGATGGTGAAAGAATATGTTTGTAATAAATAAAACAATGATGAAAATGCTTATATTTAGTTTCAAACACATTTGTGTGGCCTATATTATAATAAGATAAGCCCTATGTCGTATTGTTTTTTATATGGGGAGTTGGGTGTGGTGGGGTGGGGTGGGTATGGTAAATTACTAACCTGGAAAATAAATACCCACTCTGACCCAAGATCCCTATTACGCGCCTGGTGTTGGCGCCAATGTGTGCCCTTGTGCAGACAGGGGATGTGCCCCCCTCTGAAGCTGGAATTCTTGTTTTTGCAAAATAAATTGATGCAATTTGCTATTATAGGCCTAATCAATAAATTCCTCATCAACCGATATAAACTTAAACATTCTTGGAATTGACATAACATTACTGATGTTGTACACACCCTTGCGTGTGAAATGTGGCTCTCTTTGCAAGCACATCTAACATCTAAGGGAAAACGAGCTTAGATTGGTACAAGATAAAATAACTTTGTTATCAACATTAATACATTATGCTAATTTTCATCTTTGTAAGCGCATAAGACAGTGCAAATTATTTCTGTTACAGTCTTTTGAAGTGTGTAAAACTCCATTTTATCCCACACATAGTCAAAATATTGGGGGGATGATACAATGGACCACCCCCCCCCCTTGTCAAATATTGGGGGGTAAATCCCCATCCACTCGGGATCTACGCATATGGGCAGTTGACAATACGAAGAACATTACAGGGAATCAATGAAGAAAGTCTAGAAATGATGCCAAGGCTTTTGGAAATTTTACTCTCAACTTCGTTTATGTGATTTTTCCCTTGAGCCCACTGTCTAAGTGCACTCCTAAACATTTTGCTGATTAAACAGAGGGTATTTTGTGATTATAATTTAACAATTTTGTAGGCTGAAAGTAATACTTTTAAGCTTTTTTTTAGGGTCCCAAACAGGATGAAGCTACAGTTTATGTGGTTGACTGAAAGTTTGTTCGCAGAAAAATAATAGGACATTGGAATCAAATTGGAGTATCGAATAATTATTGAATATTTTGGTTGGAAGAGTAAACCGTCATATTATCAGCATAGAGAAAGAAATTGAGCAACTTAGAGGACAGATTGATATCGTTAATATAAAGTAAACATGAGAGGACGCAGTAATGAACCTTGGGGTACTCCACATGTGACTGAGCTGAAGTTGTATATAGAATTACAATATTTGGTACATTGGGCACGATTTCAGAGGTAACCTTTGAAGAGATCAGGTACGGATCCACGCATTCTGTAGTCAGATAATTTATACAATAGGATATTGTGATCAGTTGTATCAAAGGCCTTGGAAAGATATATAAAAAAGACCATTCGCAACATGTCGGTTTTCTAAAGCAATAACTATATTATTTGTTAGATTAATGAGGGCCTGGATGTACTGTGATTTTTTTACTGAAGGCAAACTGTTTGTTATAAAGTATGTCATATAATTTGTAATAGATGAGAAAGTGCAGCTGAGAAATCACTATGTGTGAGCGTTTCAACCAGTTGCATTAGCAAAACTGCCTGTGGTTAAATCTATGAGTATATTCTAGTCTCCGTGGTCTATTGGGTGTGATACTCCAAGAGGTTAAAGATTCGAATCCCGACTTTTTTTTTTATATAGCTAATATAAAGGAACTTCGCGTTGATGAGCTTTGCTTGACACGATTATTAAAACATGTTCATGTTCGAGCACTCATTACTTATCTATTTGTTTATATTCTTTTTAATGCTTGTTTTTTATTATTATGCAAATATTATACTGTACTTATTCAGTTTTAATCCATTTTCGTCTAATCTATCAAATGTGTATATTGTATCCTTTTCAATATTTATAACTTAATCTGTGACGAGCAAAGCAAATTTCAAGCCATTTTTATGAGTTTGACCAATAAAATCGAATTGAATTGAATGGTGTTTTTTAAGTGCTACAGATCAGTTTTATACTGTAACCTGTATGGTTTAAATACTCCTCTAAATTCTGTTAAATTAATTAATTCAATCTATGTATACAAACACACAAATTAAAATAAAAACGACCTATTACAAATAACATTACATGTCACAGAGGTTTAAAGCAAGGCTGTCTTCTCTCCCCATTCTTTTTATTCTATTTCTATGTTTGTCTCTCAATAATAATATCATATCACATTTATTATTTGTAGATGATTTAGTTTTGTTTTCATACTCCATACTTTGTTATAAAAGGACATAAAATGTTGGACTTTCGAACATATTAGATAAATTTGGTTTAGTTATATGTGGAATAATTTAGTTGCTGATAACATTTTCCCTATTCTTTTCACAAAGAATTTTATATGTAGCACTTTAAAAAGGAAAAGAAATAATTAAAAAAAATAATTTACGACTTCACACTTATAACAATATTACTAAACCCAAAAATATATGTGAAAAATATATTTATAATTTAAATCTGAGTTATAATTTTGCGCTTTAAGCTATCTTGTCATAATTTGATGATTTTAAATTGAAGACACATGAATATTGACAGGGAAATATAATTTGTTTATTTTGCGATTTAGAAGATGGAATTTCCTTTTTGTCTAGTCATTTTATAAAAACACTAGAAATCTTATACCCAACTTAAATGTACATTCGATGTATATATATATATATATAAAGGTCTGTCTCTTATACACATCTAGATGTGTATAAGAGACAGTTTAATAATTACCTTATTTGCATATATTAGCATTAAGGCTAAGCCTTAATCCTGAAGGCTCAGTATTAAACCTACTATAGCCACTAAGTATCCCAATAGAAAATCCAGCATTTGATTGATTGAGTAGACTGATATTGCTGTTGTTCATGTGGAGAGTACATTATTATTTTACGACATATTTTATGTGACTTCAAGACAATAAAATGAAATTTAAACTATACAATGTATTTATATAATTATAAAATGTATTTAGACAATCTAGGCTAATAGATAGAACTCAGAATTTTTTTGAATTTATCATTTGGGCTAGGGCAAGCCTAGAATTATGCTAGG